CTCGTGTTCGACTCGAAATGGCTCGAAAAAAAATTATATAACTCTTTATATAACAATATATTACATATATTATTTATATAATAATATATTATACATCTTTATGTCTAAGTTTAAATTATAACACCTCATGTGGCAATGTGGTTAGTGTCTTCTTTTGTATAGATTTGATCTGGTTCGAATCTCACAGTTTACATCTATTTTTCTCAATTTTAGTTTAACGAGCCAATTTCGAGCCGAACACGAACACACTGTTCACGAGCCGATTTCGAACACGAGCTATTTCGATCGAGCCGAACACGAGCCAAGCCTGAGCTCGCTCAAGCTCGGCTCGTTTACAGCCCTAGATGGGGCTCTATTTATAGTGTTTTTGGTGCAATTAATGCATGAATATGAACCATTTTGATCGGACGGTTCGGAAAGCTTCCCCCGATCATACAACATTTAATGGACATTTGAGTGTCTTAATGATGTCATAATTGAGTGACATTGGGCTCGTTGGATTCGTCTTGTCGAGCCGCTCGATTTAAGTATAAACTTGTCATATTTGACAATCGTTTGACTTTCCAAATATATTCATAAATCTTCTAGCTGTGGTTTAATGACTTGATATGGGCTTGATTTGACTCGGGCTAATTTTCATATCATTAGGTCCGTCTCATCTAACCTGCTAGTTTGATTATAAGTTTGTTGAAATCAGAGCTCTGGATGACTTTTTATTAAGATTTGAATGTTTCTGACTTAAAATATCATCTCGAGATTTGTGTCATGCCTCGATATTCGTGTTAGATGACGAAAATTTGTTGGTGGTGTATCAAACTTGATGACTCTAAAATTTGTGATTTATTTATTTTCAATATAATAAAATTATTGTTTTACAATTTGTCCATACCTCTCTATTTTAAAAAGATGATAAAATTTTAAACTAACATAAAAATATTAATTATATGCTTAATTTAAATTTAAAAGAATAAAATTGAGTTATTGAATTTTAATTTGAGAAATATGATTTAATATTTACATTTTAATACAATATTTTATATTTTATATTTTAAAATGTTTATATACATAAGAATTAGTCGAATGTCCACTTCGGCCGGCTTTTCCGATCTTTCACAAGAACCAATTCTATATGCTGATATGCATTCTTCCCCTTTAACAATCCGGTACTCCCTCACCTCCCCTTCCACTGCAACTCGACAGCAAGTTGACGCTCCAATCCCCTCAAAAGTCAACGTCTCTCCCTCTCTCAACTCAACTTGCTTTCGACCTCAACATCTCCCCCAATCACAAACAATTCAGATCTCTCAACTCACTTTCCCACTCCCCAAGATCGGTTTTTTTTTTTCATTCCTCCACCTCCCCTGTCCCAATACAAACCCCTCTCCACTCCCCACCCTCCTCCAAAAACCATGGAACCACCACCACCACCTCCCAAACCCCAAGGCAACAAACAACCCCCATCCCCTACCTTCCCGCTCCCCGTCGACTCCGAGCACAAAGCAACCCAACTCAGCATCTTCTCCTTCGCCCCCCCTCACATGCGGTCCTTCCACCTCTGCTGGTTCTCCTTCTTCGCCTGTTTTTGCTCCACCTTCGCCTCCCCCCCTCTCCTCCCCATCATCCGCGACAACCTCTCCCTCACCTCCACCGACATCAGCAACGCCGGCATTGCGGCCGTCTCCGGCGCCGTTATCGCCCGCATAGCCATGGGCTCCGCATGCGATCTCATCGGCCCCCGACTGGCCTCTGCTTCTCTCACCCTCCTCACCTCCCCTGCCGTATTCTTCACCTCCGTCATCTCATCCCCCTCCGGTTTCCTCCTCGTCCGTTTCTTCACGGGGTTCTCAATCGCGTCGTTCGTGTCGACGCAGTACTGGATGAGTTCGATGTTCTCGGGGAGGAAGGTGGGGGAGGCGAATGGGTTGGTGGGGGGGTGGGGAAATCTGGGCGGAGGAGCGATTCAATTGATCATGCCGTTTATTTATTCGATTGTGAGGAAGATGGGGTGTGCGGAGTTTACGGCGTGGAGGGTGGCTTTTTTTGTGCCGGGGTTGGTGCAGATGGCGTCGGCGCTGGCGGTGCTGGTGATGGGGCAGGATTTCCCCGACGGCAATTTTGTTGAGTTGAAGAAGACAGGGGAGATGAAGTCCGAGGGGTTTGATGGCGTTTTTCGCTGCGCCGTCAGCAATTACAGGTTCTGTGTCTTTCGCGTTTTATTTTTTGGGAATTTACATTCTAATGGATTTAGTTTATCTCACTTCTAAACTTTAGCTTTTACATCAAAAAAATAAATAGTTCAATTTTTTATACATAAGAAAAATATTTAGCTTCTAAAAATTAAAATTTTGATGTGAGATAAATAAATGCATAAGAATGAGATGCTCTGTATGTAAATTTCTGTTTATTTTTTTTGTAAAGATTTGCATCAATATCAGTCAATTCTTTTGTGTTTATATATCTAACGCTTAAACTTTTATTAATACATTCACGCTACCTTTCCTATGCATAAAAAGGTGCATTCCATGCTTTATGAGCTGAAATGGTAGTGTTTTTTATGTGATGTAAAATAATTGGATGGTATAAATGCAATAATTGAAGTCTAGGTGTTAGATATGTAAATACATAAGAATTGGGTAGTATGTGTGTAAATGCATCTTTTTTTTTTTAGGTGTTCATATTGACTTTTATAACTAGTATCCATGCAGCATCAAATTATTGAGAATTTGATAAAAATGATGAATATGGGTTGGGATTTTACCATGAATTTTGGCATTTGAGTGAGAATTTGAAAAGTGCATGAAATAGGGTGGTTGATTTGTAAATACAAGTTTCGGGTGGTCTGAAAGTAATTTCACTTTTTTTTTCTTTTTCTTTTTTTTTTATATTTCGAGTGTTTGTTTAAGTGTTTACGTTTGGTTTATTTATAAAAAACATTGAATATAATTTTTTTTTTAACTTTTAGGATTAAGCGTTTGTTGAATGGTTAATAATATTGTGCTTGAAATTTGAATATATATATATATATATATAT